ATACCCCCCAGGAGTTTGCAGACTCTAGACACAGAATAGATCACACCAGGCTAGATTGCTTGGAGGTGTTCTCCTGCAGTGTAGATTGAAGTCTCTGGGCAGCTTAAACAGCAACCTACTATGTGATCACACCTCTTTTCCCATGATTGACAATTTTATTTCTGATATTGTTCATGCCACTGTGACAATAGTATATGGAGTCTTTTTTTGAACAGACACAGCTGTGTTCAGCTTAATAATGATAGAATACAGGCCTGTATTTGGTTGCCACGCTGGTTGTGATTGAATGTTGCCCGTGTTAATGAGTGGCCTTTCCATTACAGAGCTAGCTCCGTTACATTTCCTGGCGATTGAGAACTTTACAAAGTTGAGTTTGCCTTCTCTCTGCTCAATTTCTTCTCGTTAGGAAAAAGCCAACAAGGAAACACAATAGTGCTGAATTTGGCAGATCTAATGGCTTCCCCCCCCCACCTTCCGAATGGAAAGCTTTGAATTTCCTGGTTCAAAGAATACCTGTAATGAGCTGTGCACATCGAGAAACCAAATTATTCTGATAAGCAAAGGGCAGAATAGTGAAAATGAACATTAATTAGGTACTCCACTGGGTGCTACTAATTGAAAAACCGATCTATTCTACTGCATTCCATTCTGATGCCTGTTGCTAAGCTATTAATGAGTGTACATTGTCCCAGTGAAAATAATGCAACATTTTTGCAAGTCTGTTATACCTTCATTCCATTGCGGCCCATTGTTTATAGGACAGCTTGAATTCTGTCCAAACCTTATAGACTGGTAACCCCCACATACGGTCCACTACAAATGTAACTTGTTATATACACTCCTTTTCCAGGCTGAGGCTGATCTAGCATTCTCCAATAATCGAGCTATATATACACTGTAGTGCACTTTTGTCCTGTCATTCATTACATCACTCAGCATTGATCATCCTATGTTGTAAATATGTGAAATAACCTTCAGATATAGCCATAACCTACAACTACATCTTTTATTAATATCTTTTAAACAAATAAAATAAAAACTCCACGGGAAGGCAGCTTGTGTTACAATTTAACAGTTTAACATTAAATGTACAACATTATCTGTATTTTTGGTGTCATTTGAAAGTTCTTCCCATCCCGTCACAAAACACACGGAAAAAACTAGAGACAAAGGGGAACTGATTGTTTTGCAATGTTGAGGATGACCGTGGTTCACAAGCTAGGTGCAGTAACTTCTATAAATGTGTAATTATGATGGTCTGAACCTCTTGGAACAATTAGAAACTGTAACAGTAAATTGCAAGAGTACTGTATAACAATTGAGCACACAAAAAGGCAGATTCAAAGGATACAACTCATTTTTTTTCTTACAAATAAATGTGCAAAATAACCAATACAAAGGAAAACATATACAGTGGTGTGAAAGAGTACACCCCATGAAAAGGATTCTTTTTTTACATTTTTAGTCAAAAGGATATTTGATCATTTCAACAATACTGATAGATAAAGGTGATCTAATTTTAAAATATAACATTGAAAAATCCCATTTTGCACTCATTTGTTCTATTTAAATCAATAGAACATCCAATTTCCTTGTGTGGAAAAAGTTAGTACACCCCTACGTTTATCACTGTCTAAAATCAGAATCAGGTACACCAAAACAGGTGCAAATGATTAGATAATCATTAGAGTAACTTAGACCTTGCAACAAGACAATGACCCAAAACACTTAACATCACAGTTGAAGGTGTTCTGTAAGGAAGAGTGGGCAAAAATTTATCCAAGTCGATGTAGGAGACTGATAGACAATTACAAGAAATTAAAAAAAAAAGTGATTTCTGCTAAAGGGGGCAACACCAGTTGCTGAAGCTAGGGTGTGGGTGACTTATTTTCCCAACGGTAGACAATTGCATTTCTGACTGAATTTTGTTGAATAAATGATTAAAAATAATCATTTTTATTTGTTAAATCAGATCACCTTTATCTATTAATACTGTTGAAATGAAGATCAAATACACACACATGCAAATATGTTGAAAAACACCTTTTAATGGGGTACTTTCTCACAGCACTGTACACTGGATAACCATGGCTTTAGCTACTTTGCTGAATGCCCAACATTATTCAGTGCTGTCAACAAAGTCCAAGTGTATTGTTTTTTGATCAGGAAAAATGAATCAGGTGAGAGAAGGTCTTAGGAAGAATTCTGTTTTGCATAGAGTTTCAATTGCTTTAGCTACAGTATGTTTCATTAAGGTTGAGTTTTTGGTCCTTTAGGATGCCAGGTGTTCAGGAGGTCAAGAAAGCAGACATTCCCAACACTTTGTAATTCAAGAACTCACAACACCTACTCAGCCATGTTGTCATTAGGTGTAGTGATACTACCAGAGTCTTAGAGATGCAGATACTGAGGTGCCAAGGTAAACAGTTCCTCACTGATAGTTTCAGATTGTACCCAGTTTACGATGCCCTTGTTTCTGTCTGAAATCCTGCTCAACCTGCTTTTCAAATTAACAAAAGTAATGATATTTCAAAATCATTAAAATTGTACCGGATTTAAAACTGGATTGCAAAAGCAACACAGATTATGAAAATGTACAACTTCACAGACAATATTGCTAGTATTTTTCTTAACATAGGCATCAGATATTTAACGACTTAATATCCCTAAAAAATATCAGCATGGCAAAGCGGTCTTGGGTTCTGTTAGATTTTTCATCTCCTTGGAAGACAGGTTCTAATCTCACACTTCAGTATCTTTCTACCTTTAGGTGCCACACATAGCACACCAGTGATTTATATTTCAACTGTGCAACACAGGGTTCTTATTCAGTTTAAATGTGTATTTAAAAAAATTGTAAAACTAGATTAAGGGTATTTGATAGCTATAAAAAGTAAATCAAAGCTGATATAGACTGTGCTGCTGAACCAGAGGTTACAAATACAGAAACACAAGTTAAGGGTCAGAACGACTGCTAAATAAGTAAGAACAGATAAAGATTATACAGTAGAATTCACATCTACAAATTTTACAGCAGAACAGTGCAGATAAATTTCAATAAATTCCTACCCAATTAGGACTTTTGTTCTCTCCTGTATAGATATGTTAGTGCTCTATCTTCAAAAGATGTATTGTGCATCTCTTAAGGGGGAACTTTTCTTTGTAACCCTCACGTGCTCTGCTTCCATGATATTATTTGAAATAACCACATTTTTCACATAAATCTGTCAGTTCATTTCAGACTGGAAATGAGCAAAGGGTTCCATGTCATTTTGTCATTTTTTCCTCAAATGCAAAGTCATACAAATTGGGTTTCTATTCCATATAGAAGTCAGAATGCCCTCAGGAGATGTAGAACCATTCCCAAACCTCCTTTTAAACTTAATAGGAATTTTTCTGCTCCAGATATGTGCCAGTGGTGAGCACAAGGCTTCTTGGAACTCACAGGCAAACATCAGCAACAGCACGTTACATGTTAGTGAGAATGAACAACAGATAAGAGTTTCAGATGCTAGCAAAAATTTCCTTCTCAAACCCAGTATAAGCACATTTGAGTTTCAGTTTTAGGTTTATAACTATTTAGAAGGAGAAAAAATAAATATTGATTCAATTTAACTTTATTACATGGGTATTATATGGGTATATTACAGTATGCGATACATAGTTAATATGGTTAAACTAAGATAAACTAAGACTAAACAAAACCACTTTAAAATGTTTTATAATGGTGATTTGTACTTCTGACAGGGAGCGCTACAGGAGATCATTTTTGCCTTCTAAAATAAGACTGTACAATGCATCCACTTTGTGTCTGGGCAGGGGCAACATTGACATTGACCTGTTTTTGGACTGAACAGAAAACTGTCTGCTACATCTGGCTTTCCCGTTTACAACTGTTTTTGTGCAATATATGCCAGGGACTTGTGCAATAAATTTATACTTATATTGTGCAATACAATGTTTTATGTACTGTTCTGGTTTGTTCTTTGTATGTTCTGGACTGTAACTCTTCTTAGTGCACTTGTATTGTATTATTATTGTATCATTCGTTACACTGTTTTGTGTTGACTGTCAAGCTGCTGTTGCACTGCAATTTCCCTCATAGGATTAATAAAGTATCTATCTAAATATCAAAGATGACAAACTATTGCAGTTACTATTCTATTTGATACTAAGACATTTGGAACAAGTTAACTTACTGCCATAGTTGGGTTTTGAAATTTGTGGTAATCATTTTTATACATATAGAAATATGTTTTGCTTCTCAACATCTGAAGGTAAAGATTGCTTTGCCCTACATTGTGACCTGACCTTCAGGTGGTATTACTATAGTGGTAGTAACAAACGCTTACAGCCATCTTCAGTACTTATGACTTCACCTCCTAATGAAGACTTACTGATCAATAACAGCCCTCTATTTACAACTTTTCATACAGAGCAAATGAGACAGAACCAAACCAACATACTGTACCTGTGACCTCCAATTCCCCAAGAATATTGCTTGTAACCAGTCCCTTAAAATAACTAAAGGGGTAGTCAATATAGAACTCCATTCTGACCATTGAGATAACAAGAGGAAACGAATTGCTTTTTACAGTTATACTGCTGTTCCATTCAAATGTAACACAAGTACTGTATGTTTTTATCTAGCAAGGTCTACTTGAATCTGGGCCTTCATCAGCTTGTTGTAATGAAAGTGTTACACCACTGCTATCCTGTTTTATCATTTTCCATTTCAATTTTCATACAATTAGAATATTGAACTCCAAAACATCTTTTATACCAACATGCTTTGAAGTACCACAGTAAGCACCAAAATATTTTGACTAGAAATGCAAGGACTGATGTTTTGTAGTTTGTCTATAAATACTGTTGGGAAGGTATGTTCTGTGACACAGGTATGGCCATATCTAGTTTAGGCCTTTGAGCAGAATGTGGTGAGGTCACTGGTTAAAAGCCATTTACAGTTGCCTTGCAAAATAATAATAATAATTACTTACTTATATAGCGCTTTTCTGGACGCTTTTCAAAGTGCTTTTCAGGTAATGGGGATCTCCTCCACCGCCAATGTGCAGCATCCACCTGGTAATCAGAGGAAAGCAATCAAACTCTTGCACAATTATCACATATAATTGCTTTAAAACTTGCAGTTAGGATATTTTGCAAAAGCAATTATCTTTATAATAATTATTATATCTATATCCAAACAAAAAAAAGAAGTAAATATCTTAAAAGAAAAACGGAGAACACCGTTTATTGTGATAAATCTAAATTAATTCAGGTACACAGAATTACCTTAACAAGCCACACAATTAGTATAATAAGTGTCCTCTGTGGGCAGTAAGAGGCCCTTAATTCAGATTGAGAATTCCAAGCAAGGACTCAACCATAAATAGCGAGGAGTTTTTAAAAACACTCGGGGATAGGGTTGTATAAAGGCAGAGATCATGAGAAGGGAATAAAAACAGTTTAAATCTTGCTAAGCATAGACGCCTAAGCGTGTATTTTTGCTTTCAAAGGTATACGTCTCGTTACCAAAACAACTTTTTGAATCGTTTCTCAAAACACTGCAAATGCAGTTGATATCCAATATTCCCCGAACACGGAGGAAAACATTAAGTGTGTTTTCACTTCAGTGAAACTGTTTTGTAACAAACCAATTAATAGTGTACTCTTGGCAGGCCTACATCACACAAACTGCACATCGGTTTAATTATATAATTTTTTACCAGCAAAAATCAAAATGGCATCACGTACTTTACTATACACAACAAAACAAGACAACCTGAGCTTTTCAGAACTTTGTTTCTTAATTCGATACATCGGCATAAAGCAAATTAACACCTTTTTGATAGTTAAACTTATCTGGCGTTTACGTTAAAAGAAGCAGGAAAAGATTTAGAATTTATCGGTCAGCAAAATACAAGCGCAAAAGCAAAAATTCGCTAAAATATATAAAAAGCATTTTACCTTACCTTGATAAAGTGCGTTCATCTGACTGCTTTCACTGCGAAACACCAGGAGTTTGGAAAAACAAAATGGCTGCTAGACGCCGATCCAGCGCTTTTAAATCTACCGGTAAAAAAAAAGCTAATTTAATAGGTTAAAATAGCTGTCACTCAGCGCATTCTGACCATACAAAACTAAAACCCTCCTCGCTATAGCAGGCAAGCGCAGTTTTTTTTTTATTTTACTAAACTTTTTTATGATGAGCAACTGCAAGCCCATAAAAAAACAGTAATTTGCAAAAAAGTATAAAAACACATTTTTAAAACTGTAAACATTATAAGAAGCCTCTCCATGGCTGGCGGTATTGAAATACTACGGTATAAATGTCTTCTTTTCATTCTTTTATTTATTTTACATTTTTGGAAGGCTGAGAAAAGCTACTAAAGGCCTGTCTTCATAAAATAACAAGCAGTGATGGGATGAATGGCCTGTTTCCATCATCAATTTTTTCTTAATGTTTTAAAAGTTTCACACTTTCACAGAAAAACCACTCAATGACATTGTATTTGTATGGGGAATCTATCTCATATTCCAATAATAGTAGAGCAAAACCACACAGTGAATTAAGAAATCCTTTTCTTCCAGAGGTCTCTTTAGTCGTGATGCAGTTCTGGTGATAATAAAATATATATTTTTCATACTCAACTGAGAAGCTTAAATATACTGTAGAACAAAATCAGACAGCAGCAAGGTCATCCAAAAAATCAACAGATAGATCTGGCACTCAAATTGGTTCCAGTTGAAGTACTTTGCATTTAGATGCGCGTGATACATGACACCTTAGAAGGTCATCAGGTGTTATATTTATAATGCCTGTTACATGCTGCTGTGTTAAGAGGATGAAATAAGAAACTGAACTGTAGAGTAGGGTTCAAAACTAACATAAGAAAGGTTACAAACCAGATGTGGTCATTTGGGCCCTCTAGCTCATATCATTACCAGTAGCTGAGAGATTTGAGAATCTAATCCATTTTTTTATTGAAATAAACCAAGTTATTAGCTTTGATAACAGTCAGTCCAAAATCTAACATTGTGAAAGGAAGTTCCTCCGGTCTCTGTTCCAAACTTACATTTCCATACCTTCCACTTCTGTTCTCTATCTTGTGTTAAACTGTTGATTGTGAAGAAATCCATTAGGCAGACTTTTTAATACTTTTGAGGATTTTGAAGAATCGGGTGTCATTGTAAATTTTTCAGTTCATTCCTTTCAAATGAAAAGTATGAGTTCAATCTTCCCTGATTGTGAACAATATTCTAAATGAGGTGGGGCAGGCCAAGCCAGAGAGGACTGAATTTACAGCTCACCAGCAACTGCAGGCCTCTATTACTGTAATTAGTCTCACTGATGGTGATATTAGTTAATGAATTAAATGATTGGTGAGGGGTTCAGATGGCACATTCTAAAATGGTGGTATTAAAGTAATTTTGGTATAAAAAGGGACTTCAATTCCAAACCCAGGGTACTATCTGTATGGAGTTTGCATGTTTTCTCCGTGTTCAAGTCAGTTTCCCTTGTGTGCTCTGGCTTCTGCCCACAGCCCAAAGACATACTGGTAGGTCAACTGGCTTGTTGGAAAATTGGCCCTGGTGTGAGTTTGTGTGTTTGTGTCTGTGTGTGCCCTGTGATGGACTAGCATCCCATCCAGGGTGTATCCTGCCTCGTGCCCTTTTCTTGCTGGGATTGGTTCCTGTATTGGATAAGAGGGATGAAGGGATAGATGGGTGTAACCCCTGTCTTGAATGCCTGCTGAAAGAGTTTGGCTTATGTTCGATTGGAAAAAAAATCTCATTCACTTAAGTATAATTGGTAGAATGCTACTGGGCCCAGGAGATTTGCTTAAGTGCTTCTAATACCTGTTACAATTCTTCCTCTTACATGATAATACTATTTAATACTGACCTTACTCTTTGAGTAGCCTGGAGCATATTTCAATTACTTACTTGGTAAATACCTTAGTGAAATATTAATTTAATATATTACCCATTCCAATTTCATCATCTAAATTTTTCCCTTTATTACTCCTTGAACACTATGACCTTTTCATAACTATTACCCAAAGACATGTTGAGACCTTTGTATTCATCTACTGCAGGTTGCATTCCTGTGCCTAAGTAGTCTTTTTGATGTATAGTCCAACAGCTCACCCTTTTCCATCTTTCCTGTCTCTTCAGAATGCAGTCTATCCACTAATGCATTTCTCACTGTCACTCTGATTCTGTGATTCCAGTTAAATCATAACTACATGTTCACGGAGTAGTCTTTGTTTCTTGCTTTTCAATCCTGATGCTTTGAGCATTTAGGTATATATTTATCGAGAAAGGGAAGTAAAAAGAATCGAATATAAAAGATGGGAGGTGTTTTTGAAAGAACTGATGTTATGCAATGTACAGTAGACAACTCTTATTCAATAAATAAAAGCATCAATTACTAAATTAACAATGTTGTCCAGTTGGTCACCTTTCATATGAACTCTTTCCTTTTTATGCAGCAAAATTGTTTAAAATTGTTTCCACAGATCCACTCTGTTTTTTTATTGTTTGTCAGTTACCTGTGAAGCATAACATACATTTTCACACATTCTGGTTCTTCTTAGCCCCCAACGCATACAGTATTTCAGTATCTAAGTTCATAGGGCATTTTATTTCTACGTCTTTTTTGCAACAACCATCCTTTAAACCTGGTTGTAGAGGGGTTGAGTTAGCATAACTTGTTTTGACCTTTTTCCTTTTTCTATTTCAATTTGGACTGAAGTAAAAATAAACCCTGGCATTGGTTTAGTTCGGTATTCTTGTACAGTGCTAGCTGATCATCTGAAATCTGTCTTTGTACTTTACAGCAGTTTCCTTCAACAGGCATGTCCTATTAATGCTTAGTTTTGTAGATTTGTCATGTGTTTTTTTATGTTATGATTTTTACCCTCAGTGTAAATCTTGTGTAGCTGATACAACATAAACAGAAATATGTTTTATTTTCTGATTGGGGGATTATTTTCTGAATGGATCAGCGTGTGTCTACCCTTCTCCGACAGGTGCGGGTAACCCGCTGAACCCCATGCATGATGGGGTTTGGTGATTGCAATTATTTCCCATGAACAAGGAACTCCCAGTAAGCGCAGGTCATAAGCTCGCGTTGATTAAGTCCCTGCCCTTTGTACACACCGCCCGTCACTACTACCAATTGGATGATTTAGTGAGGTCCTCGGATCGGCCCTGCCGGGTCCCCCTATCTGGAAGGACCAAGGGAAGGAGCCCTCCCCCAGGCTGGGGTTGCCGATCGATCTGAAGGGTCTCTTCATGGAGAAAGGGGCGCCCCCCGCGCACCTGTGGGCCTGCCGAAGGGCCAACCTCCGAAGGGCTCCACCGGCGGGTATGCGGATGGGCCAGGGCCCAGTAAAAGCTAAACTCCATCTTGGCTTCTTACAACCGCAGAAACTAATTTTGTTGGGTGATCTCCCTGCAGCTGAAGAGGCGCCGGTGCTGTATTGGGAGCCCCTGAATTCCTTCTCTTGACAAGAACCTGTCCTACTTTGACACACCAGTATTGATATCAAGTGTTCTACTGCTCAGATGCGCAGTGCAGTGTTGGGAGGTGTGTTTGTAGGCTTGGAGTGCTGCTGCTGATTAAGATTAACAATATCCTATTGTAAGAAAAAAAGGGGAATTTTGTTCTTTCCAGTACTTAAGGCTCAAGTCAAATCTTTTTTGCACTGTACTTTTATACTGCAGATAATCCTATAGCAATTATCTGACGTTATCTTAGGGGTACTATGGTGGAAATTCTGAGAGGATATCACTGAAGTGGAGTTGGCAAGAGGGTTGGTTGTTTTAAATTCTGTTTTTAAAAACAATAATAGGATTTAAGTCACACAAAGGAAAAACATCTGAGTAATTGTTCAAGGAGTTAAGTCCAGTAGATTTCCATCAACTGCTGAGGCCTGTTATTTTTATGAATATAAGCAGTCCCTTCATAAAAAAATACCTGAATGCACAATACACAATATGACAAACTGGAAAAACACAGTGCACC